GCGTCGACAGCGAAAAGGCGGCGCGGAAAGCCGGGGCGATCTGGGCGCACAAGGTGCTGGGCGAGAGGTTCGGCGGGTCTGGGCAGCACGGCAAGATGGGCGCAGGCGGCGCCGAGCACGGCGACCCCGCCGCAGCCACGGGAGCGCCGCGGCCGCGCAACTTTGCCGAGGTGGTCGACGCCTTGATGAAGATGGAGGGCATCAAGCCCGGCGGATGGGCCGACGGCGCGCTCGAGGTGTTCGGGCTCGGACCCAGCAGTAGCCGCAATGTGGCCAACGAGGTCCGACGTAACCCGCGCCCGCGCAACCTCGACGCAGCGGCAAGGGGCCTGCGCATCCCCAAGCCGGTCAAGGAGGAGGAGGGCCTCCACCGTGATGAAGCCAGGCACGACGGCGCCGGACCCAGGCCGGCAGCAGCAGCGGCGGCCGCGAAGCTCTACGACCAGAACAATGCTGGGAGCCACGAGGCCCTCAGCACGACCGTCGTCGACGGTGACCTGAGCCCGCGGCTCGACAGCTCCGGCCTCCACGACGACGACAGGGACGTCGACAAGGCCAAGGCGGTGCGCGATCCGGCGCTGGTCACCGTGTCGCATGTCGATGGCCACCACGACGCGTCGCAGCCGGCACCGCCGCTTGTCGTTGCGCCCGCCTCGGCCGACTCGTCGAAGCTCGAGGTGCCTGGTGCCCGCGAGCAACGCGGCGAATCGGCCGTCGCCGACGACGATGCCGACGCCGAGGGCGATGGCGACGGCGCACCGGGCTCGGTGGCCTACCGCCGCATCCACCGGCGGACGCTGTCCAACCTGTCGAGGTCGTCGGGCGCCGAGCGGCTGAGCGCCATCACCAAGGCGCTCGACTTTGCCAACAACTCCAAGGTCAAGGGCGAGATCACCGCCGACGACCTGGCGGACCGGGCGCTCGAGGCGGCGGCGGCCGATGCGCTGCTCGACTTCCAGCCCTACACCTTCCACCAGCCGCACGAGCCCGTGCCCATGGCCCTCGTCAACCGGCGACCGCACGGCACGCCCGGCCACTCGGACATCCGCAACCCGCAGGACGCCGCCTGGCTGGCCGGGTTCCGATACGCCAAGGAGCACGTCTTCATCCAGTCGCCCACGCTCAACGCGTCGCCGATCAAGGCGGCCGTGCTGGCGTGCGTGCGGCGCCACGTGCGCGTCGAGCTCTGGCTCGACCTGGGCTTCAACGACAAGAGCGAGAGCATGCCGTTCCAGGGCGGCACCAACGAGCAGGTCGTCACCGGCTTCTACCGCCAGCTGCGGCGCGAGGGCAAGGGCGACGAGCGCTACCTCGAGGTATACTGGTACACGGGCAAGGACATGACGCGGCCGCTCAACGCGGTGCGCAAGCAGCGCAACTGCCACGTCAAGTTTGCCGCCATCGACGGCCAGGTGGCCATCCTGGGCAGCGGCAACCAGGACACGCAGAGCTGGTTCCACAGCCAGGAGATCAACGTCATGGTCGACAGCCGCCAGATTGTGGCCGAGTGGATGGACGCGCTGCGCCGCAACCAGAGCACCCACCTCTACGGCAAGGTCGACCAGCGCGACGGTGTCTGGCGCGGACGCACCGGCGCCGAAATCGCCGATACGGGCAAGGACCGCACCTCGCCCCAGAGCGAGGCGGCGAGCGGTTCGACGGCCGCCAACGGTGGCGCTGCCGGTGGCGCCGTCGTCGTCGACGCTGCGCCGGCGACCGGCGATGGTGGTGCCAGTTCTGGCGCCAGTGCTGGTGCCACAGCGGGCACCGAAGCCACCGGCGCCGCTCCTGCTCCTGCTCCCGCCTCTGTCGCTGCGGCGCCGACTGCGGATGCCTCGGCCAAGTAGCGCCTGGCGACTGCGCCAGGCGATCGCGCCGATTTCTGCCCCTGCTCGACTGTCGGTGCATCGGCCGCACCTGATCCCATAATCCATACCCCGGCGGGCGGGCGGCACGGCATCTCGGGTGGGCCCCTCGCCATCGTCGTCGTATCCCGCATGTTACCCCGATGCCTCGCCTCGCCCCGCCCCGCCCCGGCCCGCCTCGCGTCGCGGAGCGAGCAGTCATGCTAGAGCGGATGGAAGGTCGCGTCCCGCCGCCGCCGTCCGCCGTGGTCGTCGTGGTGCGATGCCCTGCGTCCGACGGCATGCGTCAGTCATCCTCGTCGCTCCTTTTCGTCTTTTCCGTCTATACGGACCGTAACACCTTCGTTTGTTGTTTTTGTTCGTCTCTTCCCCCTCCTTCCCTCGTCTGGTCGCTCGTTCATGCCATATATCCCCCGCACCTTTTTCCTTCTGATGCGATGAAGTGGGCGAGGGCATCGTGAAGCGGGCTCATCCTTTGCCGCCCTGCCCTGCCAGCTCGCGACAACGCTCGTTGGAGAGGAGCGCAAGAGGAAGAGCAAGGGGCGTGTGTCGGCTGTCGTACTGCGGGCGGTCGTGTGGCGATGCAGGGATAAATGCCGCCCTCGGGCGAACCAGGACGGATTGGGAACTCATCGCTGCTGCTGCTGCTGGTGGTGGTAGTGCTGCTCTGGCCGGGCCCACGAGCGCGGGTGGATAGGTCGGATCTACATCTGCGGCATCTCTCCGCCTCCCTCCTCCATGCCCTGCATGCTGGGCGCACCTCCTCCGCCACCGCCGCCACCGCCTTGTTGCCTCCGCGCCGAGACGACGTCGTCGACCCGAAGCAGCAAAGAGGCCGACTGTGGAAAAAGCGGGCGAGAGGGGAAGACGAGTCCAGCCATAGCGAAGGATGATGATGAAGGAGCACGACCATGGTCAGCGGAAGGCGAACGACAGAGAGGGCGAGGACGTGGACAGGCACCGGGCTGACTGCGCAGCCCCTCCCGCAGAGCGAACAGCCGAGACTCACCTCGATGGCCGTCTTGAGCGTCTGGATCTTGACGGCGGCGCTCTCGTAGAGGCCGTACTCCTTCATCTCGACCACGGTGCCCTTTTCGCCGTCGACGCCGTACGAGTGCTCGCCGTTGGCGTGCTTTGCCCGGAGGGCGGTGAGCGTCTTCATGGCGTTGCCGCCGCAGTTCTGGATCAGCGTCCGCGGGATGACCTCGAGCGCATCCGCCACGGCGCGGACGGGACCGACCTCGACACCCTCCATCTCCCTCGCAAACTCCGACAGGCCGTAGGCCACCGCCATCTCGGTAGCACCGCCACCGGGCGCCAGCGCCGGGTTGAAGACGACGTTGCGCGCCACGGCCATGGCGTCGGCCAGGTTGCGGTCGATCTCGTTGAGAATGTCCTTGGACGGCCCACGCAGCAGGATGGTGCACGCCTTGGCGTCCTTGCACTCCTCGAGGAAGGTGAAGTACCTGAGGGTGGTGCACACGAAAGGAGGGCAGAGGAAGGCGGCAGCAGTTATGGCCAGGGACGAGGTCCAAACGAGGTGAGTTCTCGCTCCGTCTCGCTGTCTAGCTGTGTCCGCAGTGCCACGACGGCCAATGCGCGCGGACTCACTCATCTCCGAGCTTCTCGATGTGGAAGAGGCCGCACTGGGTGCCGACGTCGGACTCGCGGAGGTCCTCGACGCGGTTGACAATGGTGGCGCCCGTGACGCGGGCGATGCGGTTGTTGTCCGACTTGCGCACGCGGCGGATGCAGGTGATGTTCTGCTTGAGGAGGAAGTGCTGGGCGAGGTCCGAGACGCCCTTTTCGGTAAAGACGAGGTCGGGCTTAAACTCCATGATCTTGTCGCAGATGAGCTTGATCTGCTGCTCCTCGATCTCGAGGATGCGGTTCCAGTCCTCTTCTCTTGTGATCTCGATGTTGGTCTGCGACTCGCCCTTCTTGTACTCGAGCGGGCAGTCGAGGAGGAGGATGCGCGGGTTCTCGATCCGCCGGCGCATCTTGGGGTGGGTGACGTCCTTGTTGAGCATGACGCCGTCGAGGACGCGCGAGCTCTCGATCTCGCCTCCGGGCACCTTTTCGACGCGGGCGTAGCGCTTCAGGTCGACGGTCTTGCTGGGCGACGAGCCGGCGGTGGCGGCGGCGGTCGAGCCGGCCGAGGAAGCGTCGGTGGTCGAGACGGTCCGGACGGCCTTGAGGGCGAGCTTGCACATGAGGTCGGACCAGCGCGACACAAACTTGGTGCCGATCGACGTCTTGATGAGGGCGAGCATGTCCTTTTCGTTGTCGATGTCGACGGGGATCGAGATGTCGTCGATGATCTCGAGGGCGCGTGCCAGGGCCTTTTTAAAGGCCGAGATGATGATGACCGGGTGGATGCCGCGCTCGAGCTGGGGCAGCGACTGGGCGAGGATCTCACCGGCGAGGATGATGACGCTGGTGGTGCCGTCGCCGACCTCCTCGTCCTGGGTGCGCGAGAGCTCAATCATGCTCTTTGCGGCCGGGTGGGCGACCTCGATCTCGCGGAGGATGGCGTTGCCGTCGTTTGTGAGGAGGATGCCGCCCATGGGGTCGAGGATCATCTTGAGCATGGCCTTGGGGCCGAGGCAGGTGCGGATGACGTCGGCGACTGTCTTTGCGGCGGTGATGTTGGAGATCTGGGCCTTACGGCCCGTCTGGCGCTCCGGGCCGGTGTTCATGACGAACACGGGCTGCTGTCCGGCCATGGTGAAGAGAGGCTGCCGGGGGTGGATCTGAGACAGCGGCGAGGGCGGAACAGAGTAGTGAGAATGTGTCGGAGTGTTGGCGGCGGTGACGGTGGCGGGGGAAGGAGGGCCGCAAGGCGACGATGATGGTGGGTGGAGAAGGTGGGTGTGGTGTGGTGAAGGTGGCCCTGGCACCTTCCACCTTGCGAAGATGGACCCGGGCTCACCTGGCACGCGCGCGCAAATGCCGTGTGGCCTGCCTGCGCTCAACTGCGCTGGCCTGGGCTGGCCTGGCCCCGCCCCGCCGAGCCTTCCTTCTGGCAGGGGGGCCAGCCCAGCCGGGGCCAAAGTCAAGCAGGCGCGAAGAAGTCCAAAAAAGTGTCACTTTCGCCGTGCTTCGCCCGCCCGTCCGCCCGCCTCGGCCAAGGTCGATCACGCTCGGGTCCGCCCACGTCAGTAGTCTGGCCTGCCAGCTCGGAACCGCTCCTGCCCAGCCTGCCGCCCCTTTGGCCTCTTGCCACGAGGCGAGGCGAGGATCAGGGCCGAGGGACGCTCTATTTGGCTCGATATGGCGCGGCGCTCTTTCTTCGAGGCATGGCATGGCTTGGCTTGGCTTTAGGGCTGCGCGGGTTCGCTCGTCTCCTCGTCTTCTGCGCAAAGCATGCCTCGACCTCTCTTCTGGCGGCGATACTGTATCGAGATGGCCAGACGACGGCGGTCCACACCTTGCCCGGCCTGTTTGGCCAAGCTCGTTGCAGCATCCCGCCTGGCCTGACGTGGCCGCGCGTAGCTTTGCGAGAGGCGGGGGCCAGGCAGGCAGGCAGGCCGGACCGTGCGCGACGTGCTGGCAGGCCAGGCCAGACCTGCAGCCACCATTGGCAGGCGCAGCGCTGGGTCGCCTTCTGCCTGCCTCGGCGGCCGGCATGTCTGCTACTGCACCGTTTGGAGCCGGCCTCGAATGGGAGGAGGGTGCAATGGACACGGCCTGGAGGATTGCCCACCCCGTGTCGTTGGTGTTGCAACGAGGCGGCGGCGACGAGCGGCCAGGCCCGGGCTGCTTGATGCACGCGTCGAGAAAGGTTGCGGCAACAAGGGAGCCAGAGGGTGGGCGGGCGGTGCAGCAGGTGTGGCTTCAGCTTGCCTACCGAGGCAGGCGGCGGTGCGAGGCCAGCCAGCAGCGAAGTAGCGGGCGGTGGTGCCCTTTTGCTGGCCTGCTTGGCTGGGCTGGCCGGCTGGCCTGACCAACTTGGAAAGGGAAGAAGAAAAACGAGCGCGCGGGTGCAGCCGCCGAGCGGGCGAGCGAGCAAGCGAGCTTGGCTAGAGGTCGCTCGGAAGGTGGTTCGAGCGCACGCACGCACGCACGCACGTACCGGTACGCACGCACCAGGTGCAGAGTTGTAGGTAGAGCGGCCAGAGGCCAGGCTGGCAGAGGGGCAGAGGGAAGGAGCTGGGCGGGCCAGCTGGCCTGCCTGGCCTGCCTGGCAGAGAGCAGGCCGAGCGGCAGCGGCGGAGGCGCAAAGACGTGGGCCGAGGTGGCGGCGAGTGGGCGAGCGAGCGTGGTGGTGGTTGCCTGCCGGGCTGGGCCAGGCCAGGCCAGACGGCCGTGCCATTGAGCCACGCTCCTTCGGACCTCCCCACCCCTTCGTGATAGCAGCAGCCTTGGCCACCACCACCGCCTCATTCTTATTCCATCGACCTCGCGACCACGCAGCCCAGTCGATCTCTCTCAGCCGTCATCTGCTGGTCCACACTCCATCTTCTACCCTGCCGCCTCGTATCCTAGAACCGCCCTGCGCCCGAGCCTAGCCGCCGCTAGGATCCCCACCTTGGTTGCTAGGTCCAGCTCGCCTTGGCTGCTGTCATCGACCCGCTTCATTCGACGGAAAAGAGCCCCCTCCGCAAAGGCCGACCTCGTTCGACGGCGCCAGCTTCACCTTTCGTCTGGACGGCCAGCCCTCCGGCCACCTGCCTACGACTCGTGCATCGCCGCTTGTCGCCCGACCTCTATCGCCTTGTCGAGACCCGCTGTCACGTACCGCACCGTCTAGTACGCCGCTGCGCTGACTCTCTGTCGGCTGCTCTCCGGTGCTCTGCATCTTCGGTCCACTTTCGACAAGCCAACCAAGGGATCTGCTTTGCAAACCCTCTCCTTCTGCTCAGCACCGTCTCTGCTCGCTGTAGCTCGGCCCTCATCCCGATACAGCTGCCCCGCCGCCCATCGCCCCGTGCCCATCACCTGGCAGCGGTCCATCCCGTCCGACTCGGCCCGCCCTGCCCTGATCGCCCCTTGTCCCGTCCTCCTCCCACGGCCGCCCGATACCTCGCCGCCCGTCCAGCATGGGTCTTTTTGGCCTCAAGTCAAAGAAGTCGTCCCACTCCGACTCGAGCAGCATCCGGAAGCACACCCTCCACGCTTCCACCGCCTCGTCGACCGTCAAGCACAACCCCGACGCCTCCGACATTGTCGGCGACTCGCCCACCTTCAACCCGACCCCGACCGCCAAGTCCCAGCCTCGAAGGCAGGACTCGATCACCTCCGAAACCGCCAGCCTGCGCAACCGCAACTCGACCAACATGATGAAGCTCTTCGGAGGCAGCACCTCGAAGCGCAGGCCCTCAAAGGGTCCCTCGGACTCGCAGTCTCCCAACATCACCCAGCCCGCAGAGTACTTTGATGGCGGCAGGAAGTCGACCAGCCAGGCGCGCACCCCCGCCGCCGAGCCTGCCGGCAGCAAGACCTCGACGCCCGTCGCCGAGACGGCCAAGCCCGGTGTTGCCGGCCTGCCCACCCTCGGCTCGCTGCCCACCATCGGCACGCCCACCGGCGACGGAAGCCTCGTCAACGCCGTCAACAAGGACGTGCCCGGCGCCGGCCTCAACGCCAACGCCGGACCGCGGCCCAGCGACCTCTTTGCCGGCAAGGGCGTCCAGTGGAACCAGATCGACCTCACCGCGCGCGACTCGACCGCCAACGCCCAGCCGCCCAAGGCCGAGGACCTGCAGAGCTTCCTCAAGGCGTGAGTCGAGCTGCGCGAGTGACGGCCGGCCGGACGAAGGGCTGCCTGACGAGCCGAACCATTTGACTGACACCCTCTCGTGCCCTCCCCTGCTTCGCCGCCCGCCTCGCCCTTGCTGACCCCGGCAGTCGAAGACAGTGGATCCCCACGTTCAAGACCGAGGACTCGGTCGAGGAGGAGGAGAGCATCACGGCCGACCGTCTCGCCAACCTCAGCTTCACCACGACTGGCGTCGACAGGTCGGGCGGCCTGATGAGCCTCAAGGACCTGGAGGAGTCGCACAAGCGCAAGGCCGCCCTCTCTAGCCAGCTGCCCATCGTCACGGGCAACAACGGCACCGTGTTCGAAGAGGCTGGAGCCCAGGCTGGCCGCGGCTCGATCAGTGCCGACCTGCCGCCAAGGCCCACGGCGCCGCTGAGGAACCAGTCGTTCAGGACGAGCAACTTTATCGGAGGCGGAGGGGCGAGCAGTGCCGCCAGCGGTAGCGGCAGCGGCGCGACGGCCAACGGCGGCGTCAACGGCCACGGCGCCGCCCTGACAAAGTCAGGAATCGGCAGCCTGTCGAGGAAGCCCGTTCCCAAGGCCACCGAAGAGGACGGTGCAGGCCCGGCGGCGGCCACGACGCCGCAGCGCGACATCCCGCAGCGCAGGAGCTCGATGCAGCGGAGCAGGCCGAGCTCGGACGTCAACGGCTCAGATGTCGCGCCGGCAAACGGGACGTCGGCGGTTGCCGCCAACGGAGCTTCCGCGGCCGAGGGCACGCCAGCGGCCCACGCTGCTGGCCGGGCCTCGCTGGACACGGCCACAGGGTTTGCCACTCCCGAGACGGGCGATGCCGCAGTGGTCGAGAACGCCGGCACAGGTGCCATTGCGGTGCCTCACGTCTCTGCTTCACCCGCCGGTGCAGCGGCACCGCCGAGGCCTCCGAAGGCCGACCGCACTCCGACGGCGTCGCGCAAGAACAGCCAAGATCCGCTGCACGCCAGCCTCGGCGCGGCCGACTCGGCTGCCGCAGGAACCAGCGACGGACACACTGCAGAGGTCGGTGCCCTGCAGCGGGTCGACGAGGTGGCTTCCAAGGCGGCGCCGGCGCTCCAGACGCAGGTTCCGGGCACCGGAGCCGCCGCCGCCGCTGCTAGCTCCCAGTAGAGGTGGTACGCCCGACCCTTCTGCGGTTAGCCGGTCGGCTGGTCGGATCGCGCTGCCGCCCGCCCCTGCCTTTGTCGCTGTGCGGCCCTCGTCGAGCGACACGGCCGCATCACGGCCCGCATCATGGCCTACAAAACATGCTTTCCTCGTCCTCAGATACCCCCCCTCTCCTTCGCTGACCATCTTCGAGGCTCCCCTTTGGGTCGTGCGCGCTCCCCTCTTTCCTCGCAGCCGACTTAGCCCGTTGCTAAAAAGACGCCTCGTCTGGGGCGGCTTTGGCTGCCCATCGCCGAGACCCTTGTGGCGGCTCTGCTGGCCCCCCGGGGAGCCTGTTGCGGTCGTCGACTTTCCAAGCACGCACGTCCCGCCTCCAACCTTGCATCGCACCCCCCACACACACAGTCGCCAGCTCGTCCTGGCCCGCTCCACGTTCATTCATCGCCGCCCTCCCTCTCCCTCTTCCCCTCCACGCACATGTTCTGCCGCTCCTCATCGCCGCTCACTGTCCCAAACTCTTATTGTCCGCCATTCGCCTTGGCTCTTTGCCGCCGTTTCCAATCCTCGCTTCTCTCCGTCTCTTATCACTTTCAAGCAACGCACGACGGTCCCACCATCTTGGCTGCAGGGCGAGGCCGCGGTCAGGGGTCTGGTGGATTGCATTGCATTGCACCGCGCCAGTGGCTGGCTGGCTGGCTGGCTGGCTGGCTGGCTGGCTGGCTAGAGGTTGGCGGTTCCGCCGATCTGCATGCCCGCGGCGAGATGGGCCAGACGGGCGTCGATGGCGTAGCCCTTTTTCTCGAATGCTGCGCGAGGGCGAGGGACGGGCAAGAAGGACATCAGCGACGAGCGCCCCCAGCGGCACGACGACTGGCCGACATCAACCCGACACACGACGTGTCTGACCCCCCCCTGGGACGGAGGCAGCCTGTCGCCAAGGGACTCACCAAGAAGCTCGTCGTAGAGGCGAGTAGCGTCGACGAGGTACTTTTCGATGCACTCTCCCTCCTCTGGCTTGGCGACGGGGTCCTTTGCGCCCTTTTGCATCTTGATCTTGACGATGCAGAGCTGCATATTGCTACCGGTGAGGCCTGGATCGTTGAAGAGGACGGGCGAGGTTCTGCGGATCTCGACCTCTGCGCCATCTTTGGTGGTTCCGTACCCGGTCTCTTCTTCGAGTTCGCGCAGTGCGGCCATCTCGACGGATTCGCCCTCATCGACGAGACCGGCGGGGAGCTCGATGACGGATTTACCGACGGGCGCGCGGAACTGCGAGATGAGCAGGATTGACGGCGCATGCTCGGGCCGGTGGATGAGGGGCAGGATGGCCACCGCGTCCACGGCGCCCCGGCGCGTGGTCCGGTCCGCCGACTCCCACTTGCGCTCCTTTCCCGTCGGATCCACCCATGCGATCGAACGGAGCGTCACCCATTTCGAGTCCGACGACGACAGAGGAGAAGAGGACAGCACTTTGGCGTCCTGGCTCGACATTTTGCCCGAGGCGAGTCGGTGGATGGAGCGGGTGCCGATGGCCGTGGCGGTGGCGGTGGCGGTGTGGCTGGAGGTTACGATGCGGTACGGTCCTATCCTGCCGAGGCTGCGGGTGGAAAGGGAGGGATGGAGGTGTGCGAGCGATCTGAGGCTGAGCGTGCGGGCGGTCATGGTGGCGAAGACGGACGACGAGGGGAGGTGCGATGCGGTAACACAGTACCGACGGCGAGGTCAGCCCAGCCCCGCTCGATGACGGCCTGCGCCTTCCCCCATCCCGCGCTCTAAACCAAAAATGTGGAGGACGCGCACGGCCTGGCCTGGCCTGGCGCAACGCAGACGACGAGCGGCAAAAAGTCAGCCTTCCCAACGCCAGCCCTGCTGGGGTTCGGCCACCACCGTCCAAGGGCCAGCAGCTGCAACGATGTACTCCCTCCTCGAGCGGCGCAAAAATAGAGATAAAAAAGACAAAAGAATTGTGACAAGAGTGGGATTCGAACCCACGCCCGAAGACAGCGGTGAACTCAAATGAACTCTTGACATCAGACAAGCCTGAACGCTGCGCCTTAACCACTCGGCCATCTTGCCTTGTGTGACAGCCAGTTCAAAATGTGCATATATGTTACTTTAAATGCGGCAGGCGAACCGCACTCTCGGCTCCGCTGCCGCCCAGGCCCCCTTGCTGGGCTCGCTTCGACGCACGCCCCCACGCTAGGCCGGCGGGCACGCCAAGGGGGAGAGGCCTGGCAGGGCAGGGAAAGGCAGGGCGAGCGGGGCGTCAGGGGAAGCCAGAGAGAGCACGCCTCCTCCGACTTTGGCCCACACCAACACCACCGCCGTCACCACCGCCGCTGCCGCCATCACCACGTCACCCCCTTCTTGTCTGCCAAGCGCACATTCGCTCGACCACTCCACAGTCTCGCGCACCAGCCCCTCGCCTTGCTACCACGCTCTTCGAGCCTATCCTTCTGAGCGCATCCTCGGCAGACCCAAGCTAGACGACGTCTCTGCCAGACCGCCCTCGACCTCTTCGTCGACGAGAGGAGCCAGCTCGGCCTAAGGACTCTCTCCACCGTCCGATCTTCGCCATCCTCGAAGACTCTGCCTGTCCACCGGTCACCGGTCAGTCAGCCCGATAGCCACAATGAACGTCAAGCCGCACAAGCAGTCAATGTCCGAGCTCAAGCTCCGCCGCCTCACTGAGCACAACCAGCGCCTCAAAGAGGACCTTGACCGCCCCAGGATCCGCGTCTCGGAGGCAAGTCAGAGGTGAGTACAGGCAGCGGCGGTCGGGTGGCGGTCGGGCGTGTCCCGTGGTGGCCAACGCGCAGCCTCGGTGCAGCGTGGCGTGAGCTGACACGGAACGGCTTGTCGGCCTCTCTCCTCGTGCCATCTTGCCCTTGGCCTCGACAGCCTGATCAACTACTGCAAGTCGACGCGCGACTACCTCGTCCCGTCGGTGTGGGGACAGGTCGACAAGCGCGAGGACCCCTACGCCCCTCCTGGCAGCGGGTGCAGCTGTGTGGCCATGTAGAAAGGCGGCCGCGCACACGATGGCCAGCAGTGGCCCCGGCCGACGGTAGAGGCCAAGCGACTCGGACCGATGCCAAGGTGTCGTTCGCTGCCAATGTCGGACGGCGTCGCTCGTTTCGTCGCTGTCCACGCGCTCGCACCCGGGCTAAGACTTGCATTCAAGAGCCTGCCGATGGCTCTAGGCGGTAGCTCTTTGGGCGTGTCCTGGATCGTCATCCGGGGGCACTGGGGCGGCCGCGATCGCCGTCATCGAGGACAAGGTGTCGCTGGCCTCGTGGCACAGCGCGCATCGACTCGGTCGCCGACCTTGCCCACCCCTCACTCCTTTTTGGCCCCATTCTGTGGCACTGTGGCATCGTTGCACTCCCCACCCTCTGCCTCGGCTCGCATGGCTCTCTCGCTCCTTGCCATTATCTCTCTTTTTCACTCGATTTTCTCCCGCCAGTCCGACTGGCAAGCAGCTGTACAATTGATACCTCTCTGAATCCCGTCGGCCCTCGTCGCAACAAGCGCAACTCGACTTGCTATCCGGATCTTGGTGGCCCGCGACACGAGGTCTGCCCGCGGGCCAGCGTTGCTCGGTGTGTGAGCCTCGTCTAGTTGGCAACTCTGTGCGGGGGGGTCGGGGGCCGGTGTCGGCGACGTGTGCGCGTGATGGGGGCCAACGCCGTCCGGCTGGCCGGTGGGGAGTGGAGGCGCAGACGAGGGCGGCGTGCGTCGTCGTCGAGACTTTGCTTCAGCCCACCACCATCAAGTATTCCACCGACATTGGTTCTGACCGACACCGCATCCACAAACGTTCCGCCTTCCCGTCACCTCCTTGCCTTGACACCCCGTCTCTCCCTGCGGCCCTCGTCTCGTCTCGTCTCGTCTCTCCTGGTCCAGCCCATGTCCCCCGCCTCGTTCTCTTGGTCGAGCCTGAGCCCAAGCTGGTGGTCCTCGAACGCACCTCCGCCCCAGTCACCGTCGCAACCATCGCACTCGTCGCCTACACGCAACTCGACCCAGCCCTTGGCGTCTCGACGCAGGCCCTCGCAGTCTCCCACACGCAGGCAGCGCCTCAGCCACCACCACCCGCATCAGCAGTCGAGGTCGCATCTCTGCAAGCAGCAGCATATCGAGGTCATCGGGGGCGGCCGGACCGATCTGTGGACCAACTTGGCCCCGCTACCATCAGCAGCATCACCGCTGGATCTTTCGAAACCCACCGCCGCATCGACTGCCCACCGACCGCCGGCGGCTGTGGCTGCTGCCACCAGACTCGGCCCGCCTCGCCTACCTGCCGAGCTCACCACCTCGATCGTATGCCTCGCCGCCTCCTCGATACTCGATGAGGACGACCCGCTCCACTCTGGCAGAGGAGCAACGTCCCGCTCAAATAGGATCCAGCGTGTGCTGGCACTCTGCTGCGTCGACCTCGCCTGCCATCGATCCATCCTCGCCACGCTCCTCCTTCCCTCTGTGCGCCTCTACGGTGCATCGCAGGTCGAATCCCTGCGCGCCGCCCTCGAGCGCGACCGACATGGCTTCCGTGCCCTGGCCAGCGCACGCCTGCGCAAGCTCGACGTGAGGCTACACTCGACGAGGAGCGCCCATGGCAACGAAGGCGCAGACGACCACAGCGCCAGCGCAGGCAGCTACGCATGCGCAGCAAGAAGCCCCCCCGCGAAGCGCTTTGCCCTCTACGACGCCGCCGAGGCGCAGGCTCGTTTCGAGCGGGCCACGCTCCGTTCGCTCCGACACATCCTCTCGACGTGTTTGCAGATCGAGGCGCTGTCCCTGGAGTGCATGCCACGGGCGCTAGAGCAGCTGTCGCCTCGGCCAGCCTCGTCGCTGTCGGTTTCCAGCGCAGCCAGCCAGGCCAAGCGACTGCAAGAGGAGCGATCGCAGCAGCGACAGCTCGACGTCCTCGCATCGCGGGTGCGCCACCTCTCGTGCCACCTGAGCGTCTACGCCGGCCAGTTCAACGACGCCTTCTGGGCGCCTACCCCATCCCCGTCCACCTCGCCCTCGAACGGTCGCTGGGCGGCATTGACGCACCTTCAGCTGTACGGTCCGCGCTTCCGCTTCACCGAGGCGACGGCGCGCGCGCTGGCGTCGCTCCCGAGCCTCGAGCAGCTGGCGCTCATTATGCCGCTGGTGGTGCAGCAGGGCAACAACGCGACGGGCCTCGAAGGCGGCGCTGGTGTCGACGACGGCGACGATGCGGTGAGCTGGTCCGACGCGTCGTTTGACCTCGCTGGCCGTCGCAACGTGCTGCAGACGCTGGTGAGCGGTGCACGCCGACTGCGGCTGCTGCTCGTCGTCGGCCACGACAACCGGCAGTACGTCGGCTGGACGGACCGCTATCGGCCCTGGTTGCGTGCGCTGCACCGACCCAGGCCGAGTTTGCGCTCACGCTCGTCGACGTCGAACGAGGAGGTGTATGGAGGAGAGGCGGGCACTGCTGCATCGCCGTCGCTCTCGCTGCTGCGGATCCAGCTCCTTACGGCCAGGGAGCGTGGAAGCGGCGCCGAAGAGGAAGCAGCGACGAGGATGACGACGTCGAGGGCGGCACATCCGAGCCTGTTTGGACGGTGGATGATGGACCGCACGGAGCGTGGAAGGCAGTGGTCTTTTGAGCCGGGCTGGTCCCCGGTCAAAGAAGGAGATGCAGGACACGAGGGCGATGGCGAGGGCAGAGACGTCGATGGCGACATCGAGTTCAGCGTCGAGGCATGGGATGCGCAGCAAACGGAGCTCGTCTCGCCCGACGTCGACAGGGACGGCGACAGGGACGGCGATGGTTTCGGATCGACGCCGTCGCCGCGTCGTACCCGCGCAGCACCGCCACCCAGCCTCGTCCTCGCCGCGGCCGAGCAGCGGGGCGAGGAGGAGGTGTGGGGTATCGACAACCTCGACTGAGCCTTTTTCTTGGCCGATGGATGGCTAGCGTTGCATCGAGCGAGTCAGCTGCGGTCATCCTGTCTGCAAAAAGGCCAACTCTTTCCTTCGACGCGGGCGAGCAGCAGCTACATAGCTAGAGAAGAGCCCAGCCCCCGCTGTCGGTCGGTCGGTCCGTCCGTCTTGTCTCGCGGCGCTGCCGCTGCCTTTGCCCTCCACTCTGCAGCGGCGAGCGTGCACGGTCCACGCCCCTTGCCTGTCTGGCCTAGCCTAGCCTGGCCTGGTTTGGCCAGCCAGCAAAGCGGCGTCGGAAGTGGGGGTGGGTAGCCTCGCTCCGCTTCCTCTTTCCACCACCATCCGCCCTCGCTCCCTACTTCCTCACCTTCACTGCGACGCATGCATACCTAGTCATCGAGAGGCGTCCGCCCCTCGATCCTCGAACGAGGGTACAGAGACGTGGCGGGACGGCCGACATCGAGACGAACGGGGCTCGACATCGTGCCGAGGTACCGTTCCATCCTCACGTACGCTTGGTCCGTATCCCCGGTCTCTCTTCGCAGAGCGCCACACATCGGCATTCACCTACCGCCTCGCAGCGTAGTGCAGCCCAACGATCTGCCGCGCCGCACCGCGACTCGGACCGCGGCATGTTGTCGAAGGCTCAGAAGCGTGCCGAGGCGAGGCTGCCTGCTCGCGATCGACGGGCGAGCCATCGTGCTGCCGCGGACGTGCATACCACATTCTCCCACCGCCATCGCCGCCATTTGATCGGTGCCTCTACTCTGTCCACGCCGAGCACCACGACATCCTCCTACCCCTCCCGCAGTGCAGCCTTTTCACCCATGCGCTGCTCGGTGCGCCATTCGTTCGGGCGACGTTGTCGAACCCTTCAACGTCAGGCATCGCCCGGCATCGCCCCACACGATTCGACGCGGTCGATGCGACATCCAGCTCCTTCCCCTCCTCTTCGCCACCTCTATCATTCAGACCGGCGCACGGGCGGCCGTCCTCGCACATCTGGTTACAAGACGCGTTGGACGGACGGATCTGATGCCATCTAGCTACCGCGGACGCCGAGGGGGGCGCGACGCGACGCGAGTCGGTCACTGCACACTCGGGCAGGCCTGATGAGTATCCCGGATCTCGACGACGTTGACGCAGCCCTTTCCAACGCGATCCCCGCATAGGACCAGCACGAGGACGAGGACGAGGTCGAGGGCCACGGTCGACGTCGGTCTCGCCTCGCAGAGCACATCGATCAAGTCGAACACGGGAGAGGCCAAGGGAAGACGCGACGTCGCTCGTTTCCTCTTCCTCTGCTACCTTGCCCCGTCTTTCTCTCAACGACAACGACCAGCCCTCCATCTGCTGTCGACGGAGGGGCCACGCAGGTCCTCAGCCTGGCCCTCAGCCTGGCCCTCAGCCTCTCCCTCAAGCTGGCCCTCGCTCTCGCCCTCGCTCTCGCCCTCGCTCTCGCCCTCGCTCTCGCCCTCGCCCTCGCTCTCAAGCTGGCCCTCGCCCTCGCCTTCTCCCTCGCTCTCGCCCTCGCTCTCAAGCTGGCCCTCGCCCTCGCCCTCTCCCTCGCCTCGCCCTCTCCCTCGCCTCGCCCTCTCCCTCGTCCTCGCCCTCAAGCTGGTCCTCAAGCTGGCCCTCGCCTGCCCTCGCCTCAACCTCACCCTCGTCCTCACCCTCCAGCTCGCCTTCAAGCTCGCCTTCAGCCTCGCCGCTTCGATCACGAGCCTTGTCCTCCACAGACACGGGGGCACGGCCTGGCCCACACGACCTCACCATCGCGCACGCAGCAAGGCGAGGAGCTCGAACGCTCAATGTGGATTTCAAAATGAGGGGCCGCCGCAAGACGAGCGGCAGGAGGGCTACGACAAGATTACAGCTAGACAAACAGAGAGACGGCGAGCGGCCCTCGCGAGGATGAGTAGTGGGGTCGAGACAAGCTACAGATGGCAGGCAGAGTGAGTGGCCTTGCGAACAGGAAGAGAGGCGACCTAGGGGGCGAGTGCAAGGAGGGTGGGGAAGGGCCGTAAACTCAGCGTCGTCGTCATCGACGCTGGCCAGAGGGCGATGGGGTCAAGGGGAGCGCGGAAGGGGGAAAAAGGAAGCGATGCCAAGAGGAGCGCATCGACACGACAAAGACAGAAGAGAAGCGTCGTCGTCGGCTGGCCCAGGACGACCGGACGACCCGGGCGACGCAGCCGCCGCGTCGCTAGGACCAGTCGAGCACCTCGTCGAGGTCAAAGCCGATGCCGAGGCCAAAGGGCATCTCGCTCGACACCTGCCTCGCCTTGCCGGTCGAGGCGGGCGGACCGCCGCCGCCGCCGATGACGCGGTCCTTGAGGTCGACGCTGTTGGCGCTGTAGCTCGACGAGAGCGCCGTCGTCGTGGCCGGACCGGCCGCACCGCTCGAGTGCTTGCTGAGGCGCGACGAAGACGCCGGCGGTGGCAGGCCCAGCCCGAGCGGCGGGTGGTGACGACCCGCGCTGCGGTCCGACGGGCCGCCGTACCGCGGGCTGCCCGTGTCGAACGTGGGCGTGCGCGGGAACGGGCTGGACGAGGTCGGCGGGTCGTCAAAGTCGTACCGGCTGCCTCGCAGCGACGACGTGCTCGGCCGGCGTGGCTGCAGCTCGGGCGTGCGGAGCAGCGACGACGACGACGGCGTAGCGCCCGCAAAGCCCGACGTCTGGCGCGAACGCGCCGCGCGCGTCGACGACGTCGGCGAGTGCAT